GTTCTGTATATAATATTATGATAACGTTATATGTAATTTCAATTTTCTGAACAGTGTATAAAAATAATATTATCTTTATTACAGACATAATACAATTAGAATTATCATAATTAACTTGACAGTTGAGTAAAATCAGATGATGTATAACTTATCGGTTTTGGGGGTGGATTCCTATTATCTATGTGAGAGACTAATAATAATAATAATATATGGATTCAAGCTGTGCATGGTACTAACTATTAAAACATGTAATATTTCATTCTAATTCAGTTTAATTAGTGGTAAAGCTTTGAACAAATATCACATATTTTGAGGTTTAACTGTGTAACATGTTATTAATTTAGCTTTATGTTAGTCAATTYCTATTTTATTTAATATCAGGCATTCATCAAAATGAAAAAGAATGGCAATTGTTCATTATTTATTTTACTATTAATGTTATTTAATACTGTGAACGGATTATATAGTAATCAGTAAGTACCTATATAAACTCTTTGTTTTAATAATATAGTTATATTATATAATATTAAACAAHGACTACTTCATTAAGATTTAATAAGCAATTKAAATAAAAAAAATTATTGTACATTAGTTAATTATTATTTTGAAACAATACAACTTTAGGCCACGATTTCGGTCTGATAATGGCCATTTATACATTGAAAGTGCTACGGACCACAATATTTCATTAAATACAAAAGGCCAGGGATATATAAATGTGAATAATGAAAACTTACTCAAAGTTGTCGGAATGGTATTAAAATTTATTACCAATATTAAAATTTAGATTATATTTATTGGATAGCTTTTTTTACCTRAATATTGATTAGGCTAAAGAAGCTTGGGATGTAGTTGAGTCGTTTCGGTTAAATGATTTACCTGCATTTGCGGATTTGATAAAAAATATAGTACCAATRATCGAAGGTCCTAAGGGATTAACTAGTCGGGTCACTGCGCTGGAAATGCAAATTTTGAATGGAACATCGTTAACATTGGCTACCAATAAGAGAGTAAGACAATTTTATAATGATATGTTTGTTAAATTATAAATATAATACAGTATAATTGTATTTATATAGAAAGGTGATACAACTTTGAATGGAGCAAGACTTGGAATTAGAGTGAGTTCTTAAATAGAATTTGATTTGTAAACAATTTAAATAATCTCTATRTGATTTTTATTTTTTAGCTTACTAATTTGGAAAAAAAAGTTAACAATCTCATAAACCTTTTATCAATAAGTGAATGCTTGAGTAATCCTTGTCAAAATGGTGGTTCGTGTATAGATTTGTACAACGGATTTCAATGTAATTGTCCACACAATTGGCAGGTTAGTGTCTATATGTAAAAAAATAACATTAGTTTAGTATGATAATATAAAATATKTATTTTCAATATAAATAAATTAGGACAAGAGTTTTAATGTTATAACTAATAATAAAGCTARAATACGTAAATATATATGTGGTCAGTTCTGCCAAAACAYGTAGAGGTTAAAAAAATGAAATATTTTACAAAATTTTTTTATTCAACATTATAAATTTATAAAATTTGAATCGTATATAAAATTTAAGTACTGAATAGAAAAATTAATGAACAAACTAAAGCAATTAGTCACTAAAATAAATTAGTTTTTATAACAGGCATATAATGGCTGTATCAAAAATCGTTTAATTATTTGATTTTTATTTACTACGACAATTTCTAATACGATTTCCGACAGATTAAACATACGAGTTTTTCCCGTAAAATAATTTTGACTTTCAATGTGGCTGTGTATAGGTAAATATAAAAATACGAAATAATTAGTAGGTAAACGAAATATGTACTTATATTCCAAAAATATTTAAAAATATGCATCTACTTAAAAATATACAAAAATACGTAATATTGAATATTTACGTATTATTTGAATTYAGTTGTTATAAAATGTGCTAAATTTTAATTTAGGGGGTCCCACTCTGGTCTCTTTATCAGACACTAWAAATACATAACTATTCATCTGGTYCATCTGAATATTTAGATCGTTGAATAAAGCGTAAAGAGTTGGCAGYGCCAAATATGCAAACAAATACATTTGGGGGCCCTATAGTTATAACTGAACTGGTTCCTGYGTGCGCCACTGTAAATATCTGTATACACAGGTAGGTACATTGAAAAACAAAAAAAAGCGGGTAAGTCGTGGATGTCGCTCTGCTGTACAGTAGGTTAGGTTAGTAGGGCAAGTGGGTTATTGTAATGAATGGAATTAAATTTGAATCCAATGATATTATATCATTGTATACGAAAAATGATTCGGAGCAAAGACGGTTTATCTGTCTAGGATATATTATAGATTATTAAATTGTTCAAATCTTAGATTTAAAAAGAAA